TTCATACTTTTATAGACTGTACTTCTCAATCTGCAGTGAGGGACAAAATTCAGATATTTAAATATTTATATGCATAAGCAAATGTTATGATCAGTCATATCACTTAAATGTGCCAGACATGGACCATAATAAACATACAGTAAGTCTTTCTGTGCAGTTATTAACTAATGTCAATGGCATAACTTATTGGCCTTTTCTCTCTCCTACCTTCTTCATAAAAGAGCCAAGATTCTACTCCCAAAAATGCAAACTGATTTGTGCAGTTGTACACCCCATGTCACGGCTGGACACTGCAAGCATGATTTTTAATAGTAACCTTGGTGAAAGCTTTACTGCTCAAGGTTTGGAGCTTTCTAGGCAACCAGTAAATTTTATTCACAAGGCAATTACTAAGTGTATTTTTAGATCTGTAAAAAAATATCTATGATTCAGCTAGGTGTATATTTGTGATTAAAGTCTGCACAAAACCTTCAAATTAGACCTGTATTTCATATGCCTTGTAACAGCTTGAAAGCATGTAAGTAGGAATCTAGCAGGCAGAATATTTTTAAGATACACTGATTTCTGAGGTATGAATCCTGTAATAAAACATAAAACAATCTTTGAATAAGAATAGGCACACACTTATTTTAAACTCTACCCCTAACAATAAAAAAAGAGAGCCTCTCCTTTCAAAATGGGAGATAAATCAAGACGTTGCAGGGAAATAATTCAGTAAGTGGAAAAGAATGATTATTCTTTTCCTTCATATAAAAGATGCCTTCATGTAAAGGCAAGAAAATGTGAGTTAGGACATAAGACAAAACATAATTTTTTCTGGAAAAGAAATAATTTTACAACTCAATTTCACCTTAACTGAGACCAAAACCTACAATATTTTAAATGGCAAACTAATTGCAAGATGGAGAAGTTACATGGTTGCCATGGCTGCCTTCAAATACCTTGAAATGTTTCCCTTTCTTTTATTCAATCTCAACTCTGTACTAACTCCAAATTCATCTTGTTACTACCGTATCAGCTGTTTTTCTTAAAATAGTCTAATCTGCTGCTTAATCTCTTGAACTGGTCATGCCAGACAACCTTGGTATAAAAATATCTCACTGTTGAACATTTCAATTCAACATTTTACATGTTAAAAACAAGACTGGGAAAGAGTACCTAAACATCTAGTTACTTCACTATGCAAAAATAATGTGGTTAAACAGTTACAGACTTACTGATTTTCTTAACATGACTTTTCTTCTTTCTGGGTAGATACCCAGCCTAGAATAAGACTCACTAGCTGTGCAACATTATTTTCTCCACTAATGTAAGAAAAAAAGCCCATGGTGCTCTAAGTACAGTTAAGCAACCAACATACTAACCATAGCTATTTTGATTACATCATCTTACAAAGATGTGGGCTGCACAAAGAGAGCATGGTTCAAACTGTATCACTCAAGGAGGTCAAATTGTCAAAAATAGCTTTCCTTCAAACACAGTAATCAGGTTTGTATTTGTATGTTGAAATTACAGGCAGTTTTGCATTGCAAATAACTTCGTGGTAAACCAAATTCACAGGCTTTTTTTCCCCCCTTCCCAATATACACATGCGAATTTATGTTGTCCTTTTGGTAGGAGAAAGTAAGTTTCCTCCGTCTTTAAAATAAAGCAATACTTAAGTAAAATGTGTTAGGAGTCTGAAATGACAAAACTAGCTGGGATCATGAGTCTAAAGATGACCTCTCTCCCGTCACACTGGTGTGGCTGTAACCAGAGTAATCTCTTGAGCTCCACTACTTTTAAAGAAAGATGCTGGGCTGTACTACACATCAATGGGATTCAGTTTCCAACAGAATGACACTCTTATTCAGAAAGTTTAGTGTATGCCATTGCTTCCCTGTAACCTAAGGAGCAAAATGGACGTTGTAAAACTGGTCAGCTTCTTTACAAGTAATGGATGCTAACACATTAATGAAAGAGCCACGTCCACTGTTGTGTTGTCACGGTGTTAGAATGCTTTTAATAAATTTCATGTAGAAATTATGTTTTAATTGCAGCATTATGTCCTAGGATTGGACAAATCAAATAATAAGCGTTAGGGAGATAACATCTCTAATCTTAGTCATCATCCAGATACATTTGTCTACATATGGTGATAATTACCAGTTAGTGTGGGAAGACTTCATTTTACTTGTGTTATTCTAGTTAGTGATTGTATTAAAAGCAGAAAATCTAAAGATGCAAAAACAGTCAAGAGATAATAACATAGCCGTGTACTAATGATATACTCCTGCACTGTAAGGACAAGGAGACTTTGAGGATAACTACTACTAACTATTCTAGGGCCACTGTAGTATCATACAGTAGCAGAACCATATGTGCAAACTTTAAATAGTGAGAAGAACAAAGAACATGAAACCCAACCACCAGATTAGAAAGCCACTCCTTAAAAATTCACTGGAACTGTGTGCTTTGTATTTTACCATTTGAAGATGAGATTTTCAGCCTTCTGTTAGCAATCAAAGTATATGATTATAAACAGAGATTTTTAAAGTCAGCAGTTCCCATTTAGGGTAGAAAAGGAAGTAGCTAAAATAATCAACCAGCAGGTTCCAATCAGTTTATATATTTTTTAAATATCACTGTTTAATTTCAGGTTTTAATATGAATTAAGCTCTTGTAAAATCTGATCTTTGGGGCAGTATGGAGAATAGCTATTTGAAAAACATTTTCCTTTAATATATATTTGTAAAAAAAACCCTAGAACCTAGAACCATGCCAAGCAAGTTATCATCTAGTCTTTTACTACAACCATATTGCAGTGGCTGTACTGCAGTACTATCTTGTTTGCAGTAACAAAAGCCTTACAGATTTGCCAGCGTAAAAGTAGAGATTTGTGGCATGCCAGTTAGGTGCACTCATTAGCTTTGCATCCTTAATAAGCACTGGGTAGTTAAACAGCAGGTGGATTTACCCTGACAATACTGATTTTGTAAAGGGAGTATATCTTTTTAACATCACAAGTGTATAACTCAGCAAAAAGCAACAGCTGGAATATTGACCATGGCACAACACTGGTTAAAAAGGAAATAAAAGTGTGGTTAAGGAGGAAATAAAAGTGTGGTTAAGGAGGAAAATGAAAATGTGCATGCTTGTATTAGAAATCTGTTCACAGTACTAGATAGAATATTGTTCAATGAATAAGCCTCATACCCAAAATTTCTTCTTATGCATCACCCATTCTTTGCACAACAAACTCAAATGAACCTTCATTGCAAAATGCAGTGGAGCCAAAAAGCAGATCTTAGGTGAATATATTTTCAGAAGGCATATGCATGCATTCATGGCTTGACTTCGCGAACGAAGATTTAGGAAGGGCTTTGCCCATGCTTACTACAGGCGCGCTGATGGCTAAGAAGGCCGATGTAGGATAGGCAAATTCGGCTACAAAAAGCACAGCAGAAGGTCTCCTTGGGTGGTACAGGTGGGGCGCGATTCTTTCTGCATTCTTTTCTCCTCAAGGCTAGTTCTTCATAAACTCTCAAGGGAGTCAACAGCATTATGTATGGTGTGCCTCCAAGTCTCCCGATTGGAGGCCAAGGTGGACCACTGATGATAGTCGATTTGGCCGAGGCTAAGATATTGTTTCAGGGAGTCCTTATATCTCTTCTTTGGGGCGCCTCTCTTGCGGCTACTGGTGGCAAGTTCACTATAAAACACGATCTTGGGGAGGCAGTGATCCTTCATCCTAGAGACATGCCCTGCCCAGCGCAGCTACAATTTCAGCAATATGGCCTAGGTACTGGTGACCCCTGCCTGTTCGAGGACAGTGACATTAGACACATAGTCAGTCCAATGGATGTTTAGAATTGTACGGAGGTAGCGCTGATGAAAGCGTTCGAGGAGTTGCAGGTGATGACAGTAGATGACCCATGATTCAGACCCATATAAAAGAGTAGACAATACAATGGCTCTGTAGACACTGATCTTTATACTTTTCTTCAGCTGTTTGTTACACCAGACTCTTTTATGGAGTTTTCCAAAGGCTCTATATGCCTTTGCTATTCTGTTGTCTATCTCTTTGTCGATCGTGGTATCCAAAGAAATGATGCTTCCCAGATAGCTGAACTGCTGAACTGTCTTAAGCTCTGACTCACCGATGCTAATATGGGGATGGCGATAACCTTTTTGCGGTGCAGGCTGGTAGAGGACTACTGTCTTCTTCAAGCTGACTTCCAGCCCAAAAACCTCAGCCGCCTCCGCAAAGCAAGATGTTAAACGCTGCAGAGCTGCTTCTGTGTGGGCGACAAGGGCGGCATCATCAGCAAAAAGCAGTTCGCAGACAAGATGATTTAGGGTCTTAGTGTGGGCCTTCAGTCGCCTTAGATTGAACAGGCTACCATCAGTACAATATAGAATATAAATGCCGTTTTGTTCATCGAGGTCTACCATAGCCCTTTGGAGCATCATGCTGAAGAAAATTGTGAATAAAGTTAGTGCGAGAACCCTGCAATGATAACGGCCACCTCTTACTAGAGTCCTGTGCAGAGCAACAGCTTACCATCACCAACGCTATCTTCCAGCAGAAAGACAGCTGGAAGACAACCTGGATGCATCCTCGATCTAAACATTGGCACCTCATTGATTATGTTTTAGTGCGCCAGAGAAATATTCGTGATGTCTGCCAGACCAGAGTGATGCCTAGTGCAGAATGTCAAACAGACCACTGCCTTGTGCATTGCAAACTCAATTTCCACCTCAAGCCCAAACCTAAGAGGGGTGGCATTCCGAGGAGGAGGCTCAATGCTAATAATCTCCAAATAGCTGCAGTGAGGGACAGCTTTCAGGCTAACCTTCAAACGAGGCTTGAAGATATGCATGACCATCAGATGAATAATAAGTATTTTGATAAATTGTATAAATTCTTTACCTTTTAGAGGAAAGCAATCTTCCCCCTACTCAGTTATAAAGCATTATATACACTGCAAACAAATTAACCCCAAAAAGATAGGACTTACCAAAGAATAAAACCACTTGAAGTACAACCTGAAGCTTCCCAAAATGAATACCTGAAAAGCCTTTTGCTGTATCACATTCTAGGGATGCTGAGGTCCCAAAGATTTTGCCTAGATGAAAACATCTCAAACTCGTGGAATTAGTTCAAACTTCTTACTAATCCTATGCTAAACAATGCAGTTTTAATTTGAACTGATCTCCTCTACCCTGTCTGAATTTATCTTACTGTTCTGAGGAAATAAAGCTAAGCCTGCTATCACTCAAGAGAGCAGTTCATGTAGTTATGAAATCTCCAAATACTTTCAGTGTATTTCAATTTAACTTCACAAAAGGTGTTCTCCATTTTTTGCATACATTGCAGACTATCTATTTAAAACACATTATATTCCCCCACTAAAGAATTATTTGTTCTCATTCCTTTTCCAAAAATAAATTCATTATTATGGATGTCTAGGAAATTAGAGCATGTAGAACTAGAACTTTTAAGTACTCTTTCCTTAATTAAGTTATTCAAGTTAAGTTAAAAACTTTCACATAGGAATTTGCAGGAAGATATTGCTATGGCAACATTAGAGAAGGGAGTTGAATTTTTTGAAAGCTTTGTTATCCAGACTTTTTGCAGTATGACAAGTTAGCAGCCCAGTGTTGCTTATCACAATCAAGAATGAGGGATTAAAAGAACTACTTGAGGCGCTCTGCTGGACACTGCAGATGTTCACACGTTGAATACTGGCTACAACCAAAATCAAAAGTAAAGCATTTAAGACTAGAATGAGCAGATTACCAATACCTTCTTTCAAAAGAATGTCAGTGAACTCCCCCAGTACAGAACAGCATGTAATGTCAGGAGAAGAGGGGGACACTGTAAAGTCTGTAGTTCTTTAGATGCCACGAATTTATGGACCAGAACCTACAAAACTAAAAGCCCAGTGAAGATCAGCAGAGTAAGTCAGACTGACCACCGGTTTATTACAAGTTGAATTTATTAGCAGCAGTGGAGATCTGGGGTCTTTATGCTGCATATCAAAAATTTTCAAGTAACTCTCTTGTAAAGTTTAAATCTTTGTAAGGGCCAAAAATGCCCAATGCCACCTTATCCACAGCAAAATGCAAATGAATACATTTACATATTGAATACCAAAAAGAGATTTACTTAGACATATGTCAACTACGACAGGCTTAACTGAACACCATATGTCATGTAGACATAACTTGCATTCATATGCATATGCAAGTAGTGTGACATTTTGATTTACATCAAATTAATATTTGAAAAGATGTTGAAGAAATGATGGAGCAAGGATAAAAATCAGGTTATTAATTAACTAGCATTTGGCATTATTACTTAAATCTAAAAATGTTTTCCTTTTTTATAGGTCTGCATAATATAATCCTTATAAATAGAAGACAGATGTATCAGAAATATTTAGAAAAATATTAATAAAATCCTACCAGATCAAAGCCACCTTAGACTTCATTTGAAATTCATGTGTTTAAAACCACAGACTGGAAACTCCCAGGCACATTGAAAGCCAGGCAATCCAATGGCTACTGGGACAGAACGGAGACTGTAAATTTCTGTTCTTCCATGTACTTTTCAGAAGCTGGCACAGCTGTTGTGGATATAGCCTGTCCCTCCTACAATTTTGGAAACTGGAACCACAGTCTTGCACTTTATTTACTGAATTTTCTCTGTACTTGTTCGTCACTGAAGGCTATCATTATAGGCTCGCCCTCCTCATAGTTCCATGCCAAAAGGCAGAACTATTTATGAACCTTTGTAGCAGCAGAGGTTAAACAGGGATACTAATAGGAATTCAAAGCCTATGTTAACAGTCAGGATCTTGAACACAATTCTTCAGGCAAACAAGAATGAACTGCAAATATTGTGTACGTTAATCCTAGATGATCATAACCAACAGAATAAAATGAGCTGTGATTCATGCATTTCTGTTGGTTTTTTTTTTTTCTAATTTCCAAACAGACACCTAGTTTGAAGAGGATCTTCTTTCCTGATTCTCTCTATGATTTTTTAATCTGAGAAGTCTTCTCTGAGTTGTTTTCATGAAGAGAAGTGTAGTTTATTTTTTTCAGTGGTGTTTGTTTTTGAAGCATCAGTGAGTAAACAATGACACATATTTGCATATCCAGCAACGTGGGGAAGAAACCTGAAATACTTACTAATTATGGTATTATAGCTGTGATGATGTAGGGATTAAGACAGAATGATTTTACAGACTAAAAACTGAATGAACAAGAAGATGGTCAGCAAATGGAAAACTCACTAAAATACCAAGTCAATCTGGTACATGCTAACTAAAGTGCTAACTAAAATCAGACATCTTGCTATTAGTTTTGCCTTGATAAAACGGAGTGATTACCTATCCTTATTGTAGATCTTCTTTTTACTGCTTATTACAATGCACTGTTTGTAAAGTAATGCAAACGTAAAGTAATAAATCTCTCTACAATAATATTTTATTGATGCATAGCTCCATGTGGGAACACCACCATCATGATCTTTCAGCTTTTTATGGTAGGAAGTATCTGGCTTGGAAAGCAATGTGTACTCACAAGTGTTCCCAGCTTAACTATTTAATTTCATATATTCTTCTGAATATCTTATTATAACTGGACTTTGATTTTCTAAATTCTAAATTTAATTTTAATTTGGAAGATTTATATAGCCCTTGTCTGCTAATTGTAACCTTAACTCTTCATTCACAAAATGATCCTTTTGCCCCAAAATGCTTTTTTTAGGCAGTCAGCTCAGGAAGTTAAACACCAAAGTAACTGGGAAATATAACATGGTTTGAGTAGCATATACCAGTTTTTGTGACTAGGAAAAACCCCCAGGAAAGTACAAATGAACATTTCTACAAATTTTCTATAAACAAACAACCTAAAAAAAAACCAACAAAAAACTATGTAAGTATGCAAACTTAATCCTATCACTGGAATTCTAAAAACAGCATAAGCAACATACGTTATTTTTTTTTCTCCATTCCACACAAATTCTCTTGCTAATCTTCCATGATATTTCCATCTACACATGAACTGTCACAGGAATACAGAACATACAAATGTCAGACTCATCAAAAACAGAATGAAGAATGTAGTTAAGAGTAACAAGACTTCTCCATTTTTCAGACCGCACTTGATCTCACCAAGTTAGAAACTAAAGTGCCATTATCTGCCTTAAACAGAGTTCTTTATTCCATTTGTGCCTCAGATGAGGAACCGTGTTGGGTGGATTTAAAGTGTTGCTCTTTTTACATGAACAAAAGCAGTCTTTTTCCTTCTTCCTGTTCTATTTAACTGGTTCCTTTTCTTGCTCTGACAACAATAACATAATTTCCTACTTCACATGTGATGTATTATCTGTCTCATGAACGACAAGATTTATTTTCATATAACTGACTATATTTAATATGTAAATCTAGATGCTAAAAATATTCAGCAGTTTTATAACTTAACTTTTCTGATAAGATCAGTTGAATCCTCTTATAAATTGAGATATTACCTGAATATTCCACATTTTGAAAAAAATGCTTTCTTTAAATTATTTGCAGCTTTTAAAGAAAAATGTGTTTATTACTATAACTGCAGGTACAGAAAAGAACTATTTATAAGTTTACGATGCATAACATAAACAAATTTAAACATCCATACACTTTAAAAATGCAGCTGAATCAGTACTCTAAGCCTGGGCTTAGAAAGGCTTGTTCAAGATACAGCATGTCACATTTTATGCTCTACAGCAGTGAAATGAATTTAAAAAATAGGATGAAGGTGAAAAACTTCTCTAAAACACAAGGTTATAGAGCCCTCTAGAATTACAATTAACAATAATCATTAAACTTCATTAAAATAAATCCTATAAATTCAAGGTAATGATTAAGTACTACATCTAAAGAAAGAATGCCAAGTGACTGGACAGGATATTTTAGCACAAAGTTGGAGTTAAGTTCTTTCTCTATCGGACCATCTCTGCTATGCGCAAGGAAAGACCAACAGATGTGGATTACTGCCATGCTCCTGAAGCTTTAGGTAGCTTGAAGAGATATTCCATAATCCTTTACTCATAGCAGAGATCATCCTAGCTCCAGAGTTGCTCACAGAAGCACTCTGCACAAAATAAGGGAAGAAGTTTTGGGCGAGACAAGTAGGTAAGGAGACAGAAAATTGTAAATTATTAAAAGCTTCAAGCATTATGCCTGCTACTAAATGACTTCACAGTTAAACTTGCTATACCTTTTGTAAAGGGAGGTGATCCTGAAACAAAGCAATATTTAAACAGAATGCTGAAATCAGTCTAAAGAGCTCATGAGCTGTACTCTGGTGATAGGTCCACACTACAGTATTCTACTTCACTAGTATTAATAAAGATACATCCTCCAAATCGTAGCAAGGATTGTTCAACATTTTACCACAGCTTTCCTGCTACTAATAAACAAACTAACTAGATTAATGCTAGCTTGGAGAAGCTTAAAAATACAGCAACATAATAAACCATAAAGTATTCTCTTATAAGAGTTTTGATACCTCAATGTACTTCTGAAGACAAAAGCTCAGAATGTAAACCTGTTTTTTCACATGATACTTAAAGTCAGACCAGATGGTAAAACAGCTTAATCATCTTGACATACTAAAGCCCTCACTTTCTTACTCATGATTTTTTGTAAAGATTCCACCTAAGATTATCTATAATAAACAGAAAAAAACCCTTCTTCAACCAGCAGTGAATTGGGTATGTTTCTACATAACAGGATACTTAAAAGTCAAAATCAAGATTTCCACTTGAATGTTGTTCATCTTTTTGTTACTGCTAAAGGATACATTGCTTTTATTATTGTCAATTATGTTGATCATCTTAAACAATTTTCTCAGCAAATTGCCACTCCTCATAAAACTTCAAAAAATAAAAAAGGAAATGGTCACATTCTACTTTCTTAAGGTCATCATATAAATTGACAATCCTGTTACTACAGAAACAGAGTGGATTTTATCATTCTAATGCATGCAGCATTGTTTTTATTTCATTCTAGGGACAGGTAGTTAACGGTGCCAGCCGCTGTTAGCAGATACAAAGACTATTGTCACCTCAGAACAAAGCTGCTGTCTCCTATTCTATCACTGTGAGCTTTCCTGACCATCAGCAATACAAAGGGGAACATTCAGGCAGAAAGAAGAGCTGTTCACCGGCCTTCATTCTGTGGGGGAAATACAATTCCCTGCAGGAATTATAT